TCTGATGAAGGGTCTAGGCCCGAAACGTCAGCCTTATTGCTCCTATGGCGCTGCTTGGCCTGCTGTGTTCATCCAGCTCTGCACCTTGTTGTCTTGGATTCTCCAGCATCTGCAGTTCCTACTATCTCTTAGGTTAACTCATCAGTTTTAGTATCTGAACAATATGTCTAAAAATTAAAAATACACAGAAAATCATCAGTGACTAGAAATTGTGATGGGCTTTACATTGCATTAGTCAGTAATGATAGTATTACATTCTGTTAATTGGACGCTAAATGCATAAGAATAAAAAGGTACCAAGGCAAAGAGATGTTGTGAACTAATTTGTTAAATGTAATAAAATATAAAAGAGGAGTTAGCCAGAAGGCTGGAGTATTTAATGGTATTTGGTTGGTTGAAATAACCATTTGGAAGATGTACTGGACTTGTCATGCAATTAAATCCTAAAAAGAACAACAAAGAGGATTTCCAAGTATAAAAGGGGTGAACTGTGAGAAAAAGTTGGAAAAGCTGAAGCTCTACAGTTTAAAAAGAAAATTATTCGCGACATTGTAGGGATATCCAAAATCCTAACTGATATAGTAAATGTTGTATATCAATTCAAATTTGAGTGGACAACCAGTATGAAATGACAATTTAAATATGAGGGAAAGCATTTTAAAACAAGCTCATAGAAAGATCTTCATTCAAAGTGTAACATATCTTAGGAACAAACTGTTAAGTGTAAACAAAACCAGTACTGAAAATCAAAATGGGTTTGGATGTTATCATGGTAGAATTGGGTGCTCATGGGATGACCTTATCTTTCGAATGTCATATAATTTTTGTGCAAATAGTTATGTAAAATTCAACAGATTTTTAAAAATTTCTAAATCAACAAGTGAAGATAGGACAGAACAGAATGCATAACTCTACCAAGCTATGTTAACTCAGTGTTACAATTATGCAGATCTGCCTTAAGGATTTTCCCTCTCTGATTGATGGTCTGTAACTACATATATTAAAAAAAATCTTTTATTAAGAGTATTCATCTCACTGAAGATACTTCAGGCCAATAAATATCCTGCTCTGAAAATTCTGCTCACATTTTAACAACTATGACAAATTCTATCTTACTGGCTAAGATAACCTATATTATCTGAAACAAGATATCAATTCATCTGATTTCCCAGTGTAATGAATCCTTAAAAGGAAATTCCAGGGTTCTGATGCAGAAAGTTGTCAAAAACGAATTAGTTGTTCCTTGCTCATATACTTTCTGCACATAAATTGCACATAAATTTATCTATTAGTTTTTAAAAGGTATATTGTTCACAAACAGACAAACAAACAGAAAGAGGCAGAAACATTACCTCTGCTCACCTTCCGTGGTAGAGGTAATAAAGACATCACAAAACTCTTTAAAATGATAGGCACTTTACAATATTTTGTTTGCAAACTAGATATTTCCCCCAATACCCCTGGTTTGGAGGGTATTGGCTTTGAGGAGAGATTGGACAAGCTTGGTTTGTTTTCACTTGAACATTGGAGGCTGAGTGGAGTTGACCTGATAGGAGTTTACAAAATTATGACAGGCATGGACAGAATGTATTGTCAGAGACTTTTTCCTAACACAGAAATATAAGTTACTAGAAGATGTGAGTGGCAAGTTTTGTTTTAAAACACAGAGGGTGGTAACTGTTTTGAACGTCCTACCACAGGAGTTTGCAGAAACAGGTAAAATAGCAATGTTTAAGAAGCATCTTGACAGATACATGTATAGGCAGGGAATAGAGGGATTCGAACCATGTAGAAGCAAAAGATTTTTAGTTTTGAAAGGAGTCAGGTGTCAATGCAGGCTTAGTGTGCCGAACGGCCTGTTCTTCTGGTGTATTGGTCTTTGTTCGAAGTCCTCTTCAAACTGAACTTATCATTAATAATTTAGCATTGAATCACAATAAGAAATACCTTTACTTTTTGGAATTGTTGCTCCATTACTCTTAAACTCTTCTTTGCTTCTTCATCTTTTCCTTCCAGGTCAGCTTCTAATTTCTTTATTCTTTTCTCTAAAAATCCTCTTGAATGCAGTCTGCCTGCTGTTTCAGAATCTGTTTCAGGTACAGATGCAGCTGCATATATAAGAGCAGGCAACGAATTTGGATATCGCCTTTGAATTATTTTTTCCATTTCCTTAACCTGTCAAAATGCAAATAAGATATTACCTGGTTTTGTACTTACACATGGAGGATACTGGGTAGAAGTGCCACCTGCCTTTCTTTTGAAATAGGGCCAAGGTGCCTTTAAGACAAAAAACAAGGCTTCAGTTTAATGTTGAACCTGAAAGTTGGCCCCTCAGAGTGCACCTCTCCCACTGAACAGCACTGAAGAAGTCTCAGCACAGATTTTGTACTCAAATCTCTGGAGTGAACCTTGAGTGCATACCAAGTAAAGATCACAGCTTGTCAGAGAATCCTGACCCTAGCAGAAAGAACTGATATAGCAGACTCATACTCTCTTGTGAATCAGCAACCTTAAAGAGATAGCTCAGTCTCTTTCTCACAGACCGCTAATAAAGAGGATAGATTTCTTTTTCCAAAAATAAATTAACAGAGACAGCATGTACCTGACCTTTATCTCTGAAATAATAAATTGCCAAGTGAAACACAGTTGTAGCTGCACCTGTGTGCGGTTAGAAGTCTGCAAAGTCGAGAAATCCACATGTGCACATACCTCGCATAAGGCCACAGAATTATATTTATTGTCTAAGTGGAGAGGTGGATAAGAAAAGAAAACAAAATGATTGGCTGAGGAAAATGCATGCAAGTTACTAACCCCATCCAATATAACGTCCCTTAATTTAAATTGCTGGAAAATCAGAATCATATTATTTTTTCTGTTTCTATGTGTCAAATATTCCTCTCTAGGGTTTCTATCAGGTGATATGGAATGTCCAACCATCCAAGATAAAAATATACACTGTAATTTTTTAAATAAAGTATTATATAATACAGACTCTTACATTCAAATTGACGCAACCTGGAAAGAAATCCAAGCTCCCTTGAGCAAATATGATTGACACGATACCATATGATAAATTGTTGCCCTTATTCAAAAATGTCAGGTGAGTCTCAAAGATTTTCTCATACAGACTTATAATTCACCATGAGACAAACTCAGGCCACAATAATGTGACTTTACATACACAGAAATCTACAAACACAGATTTCAGTCGTGGAATTCATACCAATAATTTAAGATCCAAATCAGAACCAGTAACAGTATAATTTTCCGCAACTTCCTAACAGCCAGCATAAAACAGGGAAGCACAAAACATACATAATATTATATGCAAATACAATGATGTAACTGATGATGCAACTCTGACATCAGTAGAACTGATTGAGAGAAGACAGCATCCTGGAAGGAGCTTGTTAAGAGAAATTTTAGTCATTACACCACAGAATCATATTTAGTAACCTGCAATGTACAGATTCAAATAAAAGTGTTACAGCACATCCTTAAAGATGAAAACCAACATCTTCAAAACAGTGAATGTTTAGACACCCACTACCCAAGTCACAGCTGAAAAGACAACGCTTCATTCAATCATCACAGACTTGGTGATCAGAGCACTGAAATGAATCGTCATGATGTGGTTTCCAGAAAGAATTAGTATCAAACAATGGACATCAATTTGTCAGAAAAGATCTCAAGATGTTCATTGAGAGGTAGGCATCAACCAGGTAGCATCCTCATTCAATGGACTGGCAAAGAGGGTCAGGCAGAGAGTTCACTGATCCATAAAGAATACAGAATAGAAATTATGTCTACTCAGTTACAGAGCATCATTCCTCAATGGATACTTGCAAGCTAAATTGTTAATGGTAAAGGAGGTTAAAGATGCATATACCAGTTTTAAAAATGCAACCTCAGGTCAAACATAACCTCCCGAAACCTTGAAAAAGTAAAACAAATGGAGAAATGCCACAGTTGAAAACAGAGACGGTATAATCCCTGAAAGTGAAGTTACAGGTAGATAGAATAGTGAAGGCGGCATTTCGTATGCTTGCCTTTATTGGTCAGTGCATTGAGTGTAGGAGTTGGGAGGTCATGTTGCGGCTATACAGGACATTGGTTTGGCTACTTTTGGAGTATTGTGTGCAATTCTCGTCTCCCTCCTACTGGGAGGAGGATGTTGTGAAACTAGAAAGGGTTCAGAAAAGATTTAGGAAGATTTAGGAAGATGTTGCAAGGGTTGGAGGGTTTCAGCTATAGGGAGAGGCTGAATAGTCTGGAGCTATTTTCCCTAGAACGTCAAAGGCTGAGGGGGTGACCTTATAGAGGTTTATAAAATCATGAGAGGCCTGCATAGGTAAATAGTCCAGGTATTTTCCCTGGGGTAGGGGAGTCCAAAGCTAGAGGGCATAGGTTTAAGGTGAGAGGGGAGAGATATAAAAGGGACCTAAGGAGCAACTTTTTTTCACACAGAGGATGGTGCGTGTATGGAATAAGCTGCTCGAGGAAGTGGTGGAGGCTGGTACGATTACAACATTTAAAAAAGAATCTGGATGGGTATATGAATAGGAAAGGTTTAGACAGATATGGGCCAGATGCTGGCAAATGGACCTAGATTCATATAGGATATCTGGCCAGCATGGATGAGTTGGACCGAGGGGTCTGTTTCCATGCTGTATATCTTTATGATTCTATAACAATAGGCGCAGGGCAAAAACTAGGCTGATCTTAAATTCTAGGGCAGAAAGTCTGGGGGTTACGAGACTTTAAAGTTAGAAGCCATAATCATCAAACAAACAGATTAACCTACATCTTATGTTGCACCAACGTCAGAAGGGACATTCAGGAAATTTTACTCTGGCCAAGAAGGGATATCATGTTTCATTAGCACAAGAAATAGGAAAGACATACCCATACTATATCATACAACGTAAAGAGTGGTACAATAATTCTAGACACAGGATAACACCATCACCCTGGTATTGAGATCAAACAAACCAGATTAGGATGTCCAGTCGGAATTCCAGACACTGAGATTTAGGTTGGGGCTAGAGGGAAGGTAGTGATTGTAGTGATATTGATGCTAGTTGTGATGTTAATACGTTGAAAGGAAACTGCAGGGTTAATGTGGGCTGAGTAAGGAGAAACTCGGGGGAGACAGACAAATGATGATGATATAACTGGCTCATCAGTAGGAGAGATTTAGAGAAAATATCAGAGTAGAAGAAGCATGTAAAGAGACATAATCTGTAATGTAAATTATTACAATCCTATCTGATGTTACTACTGACAGGTCAAATCCTGAATTAAATATGGTTTGATAGAAATGAAACAAAATATAATCCAAGTTAATGTGTCAGTCAATCACTGAAACATAAGCACACCAGACTGAAGGGTCACTGGACCCGAAACTTTAACTCTGATTTTGTCTTCAGATACTGCCAGACCTGCTGAGCTTTTCCAGCAACTTCTGTTTTTGTTCCTGATTTACAGCATCTGCAGTTCTTCCGATTCTTCTACTGAAGAGCAGTGCCTAGATGTGTAGTAGCAGTATTAGCTCAAAGCACTTGACAAACTGACTGTCATAACCTTATCCTAAATAAAACTAACTTTGAAATGAATGCCTAGCTTACTTCAGAGTTTCTGAGTCATGCCATGATATAGAACCCATTATGTTAAATACTGCTATCTGACAGCAAGAAAGCTTAAAATTTAGTGTTGAAAACAAAACAAACCTGCCGCTCAAGATCTTGAATACGTTTGGCCTCCAGAGCTCTCCCCTTTGCACGTTTCTCGGGAGGCGAATTTTTATCTCTGGAATAAGCAGCAAGCTTTTCTACCTGACAAAGTAAAGGAGACATTGTTAAAATTTGCAACTTGACCACTGCAAGCATAGAGTGGCACAATAATTTTAAAGTAACATGTTGTATACATGTATAGCTGAATGAATGAGGAAGGTATAAATATGGCGACTGAAGGATTTGGAAAGAAGTCGAAGCAAGGTATCTGGTCATTGAAAGTGGAGTAAAAGTGATTTGTAAATTGGAGCAGTAAGAGTAACCCAATTACAATGTTCATGATGAATCAATGGTTACATGCTTGCAAGATAATTTGTATTAAATCTCTTCTGACAGAATTAAGTTAACACAGGCAATGCTAGAAAATAAGTTCCTTACAGGTAAATAACTGTCTGATGAAAACATGGGGAAGAAGTTACTTTCTCATTACTCCACACAGCCTAACAAACAGCTGACTATATCCTATCCTAACAAACAACTCAGTTGTATGAAACCACTGTGCATTGTGAAAGTTGTTCATATACCTAATGCTGTCCATATCCTTGCCACAAAGGAACAAAAAGCTCAGCCAGAAGGGTTAAATCAGAAAATCTGTAGATATTCAAAAACTCAACATTTTCAGAAAGGCCTGAGTTTCAGATGGAAAGTGCTGTGATTACTGCAATAATTTTGCTATAATTTCTCAGAATCCACTTAGAAATGCAGTACATATCTTACAGGAACTTTAGGTCATCCCACAAACAAGATCAATATTCTGAACTACGGTTCCTGCCAGTCCTGCTCATTAATATGGTTACCCTAGAAAGTCATATTATTTAAATGGTGACTTTTTGCAATACTGTCTCCTAAAGACTGACTCTATTTTGATATAACAGTGTTCTATCAATTACCTGTCCAAGTTTCAAGTATTATTATTTACATAATTTGTCAATGAAACACAACAATTTAGAGAATTTCTAGCAGCCACAAAACTCTGCAATCTGTTGAAGCTGTTAACATGAAAACCATTTGTCAAAGAAGTAAAATAAATTTCCTTTTGGCTCATAAATAATTCTCATGTATAATGTTCTTCAATAAATAACAATTGGGGGACTGCAATTCATTGATTTTATGTTCAAAGCATACTTGCGGTACTGCAAGATGTGAAGCTGCGAGTGACACCAACTCAGATTCTAGACACCTAAGTATTTCACCAGTAACCCTTCAATACTCAAGTCAAACTGTTGCAAGAAAAGGTTCAAGATGTGCTTAGCTTCTGGTCCATTAGTATTTATCCAAAATATAAAGTTGCATCTACTTCCGTTAAATACATTCAGTACCTGCACCTTCAGCTTCTCAATTTCTACATTTGCTGCTTTAAGCCTTGCTGCATCCTTATCCAACATCTCCTGGTTTTCAGCATACCACTGTAACCTTTTGTTGAGACGCTGGATTTCTTGCTTGTACTGTTCTTCCATTATTTTCATTTCAAATTCTTTATCACCTGGATAAAATACTCTTTCTTAAAACCAGGAATATGACTTGTGATTAGGAAATAAAGTAAGATATTTTTAGATTGAAAAGGGCATTCCATCCATCTTAATTTTTCCAGTCACATTACCACATTTTTCCCATTGCAGTATCCAGTTGTTCATTTAAATAAAGATTTTTATCTTGACTATTTTATCTGGGCTCACTCCAAATTTTGCTTTCTGCCTTCACACAATCCTCCCCATTCTTAAGATATGAGATTATTAGTATACCACTTCTTTGACTTGTAGTCATCACTCAATACCTCATTGACTCAGCATTGATGATCTTAAAAAATGTCTTGGTGAAATGTTTAATGATGTTTACTGTTAAAGGCAATTTATAAATGCAAATAGATGTTGTTCAAGGTTTAGATGCAAATTTTGGACAGACTAATAAAAGCATTCAGTTTGCACTCAAATTTCTCAAGTCAGCTTGTGGTCATAGCTCATGGAGATTTAAAGATTGCAGAGTGCATTCAAGTAGCAAAAAATTATGATAGTGATACAATAGGGATTATTGATTTTTCACTTCCATTATTTTATTTCAGTACCTAGAATTTTAATAGACTGAAATGGTTTTAAAAAAAAACGTAGACAGACTTAAAATGGTCACAGCAATCAGTTGACTATATAGGTTAGCCATGTTTCATGAAGCCAAGGTAGAATAAATAAAAACGTCTGAACTAAAATTAACACATTTTACAAAAAGAGTATGGTTGGAATGTTCCCTGCCTCTGAACAATGTGGGCAATAGCGAGTCAGTAAAGAAAACATGGCAAGAAAAATCAGATTCTTAACAGAGAAAAAAAGGTTTGAACAATGAAAAGAGAATCCCGCTAGTGAGTGGCAAGAGCCTATATGCATGCATTAACATCTCATTATTACATATTCACACTTCGTTTATATGCAGTTTGGTATTCTCCCATGTGGCAGAGAGAAATTGGACAGTGACCAGGCAAAAACGTGCAACTAATCCGCAATACCTGCCCTATGTAAGGGTAGTCTCAAAATGTAGATAAGGTTTTCTTTTACATTATGCAAAATTGTGCCATAGGAATATGGATATCACACAATATGCTGAAATCAATTTTTTTAAATTATTGATCATTTTTTTTCTTCCAATAATCTGTTTTATCTACTGTTAATGCATTTTAAAGCTAAATGAGGACAAGTTGATAAGTTCAATTCCATAACTTCAACAAATTCTAAATTGCCTTCAATGAGGTCAAACAACACAACTTACCTGAAGTATAAGTAAGTTGTATTTTAGCCATATTACACTCTTTTGACATGTTTTCCAGATCTACCATTAATGCTTGCTTCTCTTGTTTTAGTTTTTTAATTTCTTCAGTATGTTTAGTCTCTTCTTTCTGAAAGGGGAAGAGTTAAAATACTGAAATAAAGAGATAGAACCTGCTCAGATGAAAATCAGTCACCAGCCAAGGGTAATTAGGATATTCATGTGCAAACAGGGTGCTTCATCCAGGAAGCAGAAGAAAATAATAAAACTGATAGTCCTGTAAAATAAAAGATCTTTCCAAAGCCACAATATAGAACACTGACAACCAAGCAAACCTCTGTTTAACTTAAATAAGGGGAATTACAATGAAATGAGAACAGAGTTAGCTGAAGTGGACTGGGCAGATAGATTAGCAGGAAAGACAGCAAGCAAGCAGTATCAGACATTTAAAGAGAGAATTCATTACTCTCAGCAAAAATATATCCCAGTAAGGAGGAAATATTCTGAGAGGGATGAATGAACTATGGCTAACCGAGGGAGTTAAGGAGAGTATTAAGTTGAAAGCAAAAGCATAGAAGGAGGCAAAAGTCAGTGATAGCCCCAAAGACAAGGATAAATTCAGAACTCAGCAAAAGAGGGCTAAAAAGACAATAAGAAGAAACAGCGAGAGCGCACGAGAGAGTGCAAAAGAGAGAACCAACACGACGGTAAATTAGTGAGGAATGTAAAAACAGACAACGGGAGTTTCTTTAAATATATGAAAAAAGGAAGCAAGATCCAAGTGCACATAGGTCCCTTAGAAAACATATCTGGAGAAATAGCTCTGGGGAACAAGGAAATAGCAAAGGAGATAAACAGATGTTTTGCACCAGTCTTTACAGTGGCAAATATACTGAACATCCCATTAACACTAAAGAATACAGGGGAGTAATTAAGTACCACCATCACAAGAGAAGTTGTATTAAACAAACTAATAGGGCTAAAGACAGGCAAGTCCCTTGGCCCTGATGGCTTTCCTCTTAGGATTTGAAAATATGCACCTGCACAGATAGTGGATGCATTGGGCATAATTTTCCAAAAATCCTTGGATTCTGGACAAGTACCAGAGGATTGGAAAAATGCCAATGTGACACCCCAATTCAAAAAGGGAGGCGAAAGCCAGTTTGGAACAGCTGGACATCTATTTTTGGAAAAATGTGAGAATCAATTATTAAGGAAGTAATAGCAGCACATCTGGAAAATCATAATCTCATGTTGCAGAATCAGCATGGCTTCACGAAAGGAAATTGTGTCAGACTAATTTATTACAGTTTTTCAAGGAAGTCTCAACCAGTGTAGATAGAGGGGAATTAGTAGATGCATTGTTTTTGGTCTTCCAGAAGTGTTCGACAAAGTTCTTCACAAAAATTTAACTTGGAAGGTGAGAATCCCATGGTATTGGAATTAGCGTAGTGGCATGGATACATAATTGGCTAATGGTCAGGAACCAGTGAGTTTGGGGAAGGGCACTTTTTCAGGTTGACTACCTGTAACAACAGGATTCCACAGGTATCAGTGCTAGGACCGCAACTGGAGGAAGAAATCAAATGTACTGCAACTAAATTTGCAGACGACACAAGAATAGGTAGAAAGGCAGATTGCAAAAGGGATACAAACAGTGTACAGAGAGATATTGATGGGTTAAGTAAGTGATCAAAAAACTGGCAAATGGAAAAATGTGAAGTTGTTCAGTTTGGAAGGAAGATCAAAAGAATGGAGTATTATTTGAATGGTGAAAAACAGTAAAAAACTGCAACATAAAAGGACTTGGGGGTACTTGTGTATGAAACACAAAGCTAGCACACAGGCGCAGTAGGGATCAGGAAGACTAATGGAACGTTGGCCTTTATTTCAAATGGGTAGGCATATAAGGACAGGGAAGTCTTGCTGCAACTGCACACAGTGAGGGGGAGACGAGATCTGGAGTACTATGACAGTTTTCATGCCCTAATGTAACAAAAGATATTATTTTAGTGGAGGCAGTTCGGACAAAGGTTCACAAGGATGATCTCTGGGAATGGAAGAACTGTCTTATGAACGAAGGCTAAACACGTTGGGGCTCCACTCACTGAAGCTTAGAAGAATGAGAGGTGATCTCATTCAAACAGATAGGATTCTTAAGGATCTTGGCAGTGTCGGATCAGCTACGAACCAATCAGGAATGGCACCTTGAGCTAGCTCCACCAATCAGCCCACTCCTGTTCCTATTTCCTATGGTCTAATGTTATGATCTCTGCAGTACAGTCTGCCCTGTGTACCTTCTTCAGAGAATAGCACAGCACAGGGAGGTAGAAAACTGATTATAACCAAGAGAATGTAAAGCAAATTCAATAAAGTACAACTATTTAATCAATATTTCAAAGATAACATTCAGAAATTTAAAAATATGACCAAATTGGGGAGCTATAAATTTCTACTTATTTAATTACAAAATAGATCCCACCAGGGTTTGAGGTTAACATCTACTTCTTATCTAACTTTGTTTAAGTATAATGAAAACAAAATTTAGTGCACAAATTAATAAGCAAATTAGCACAATGTTAGCAACTTAAGTATTCTTATGGTATACTGAAGCCTATTAGAAACTGGAATGCTAATCATAAGCATTAATGGAGTTTTGCTTTCTGATGCAGCATTAAACAAGTGACAACATACCATGGTAAATACAATAAACTGTAGGAGAACAGAGACTCTGAAAATGTCCACAGCATTCATAATAGGAAATAAGTGGATCCTTGAAAGACAAGTGACATGAATAATAGCACAGGTTTTAAATTATTTTTTATTTTATACTTGTCCTATTTAGGATACCAGAAAGATAATGAGTCGTGCACACAAGTACTAGAATTAGGATAAAAAGGTACAATTCAAGCAATTTTAATTCAACTTATTAAACTTCAAATAACTGGAAAACAAATTGGAAAAGACTTCTTAAATTTAGTAGTTACTGTATTTTCAGTTTTAGGAGCTTCCTGCTAGAGATACACTTGCCAAAATAAGACACATCCTCTTGTCAAACAGTGGCTGCAGAGCTCACTTATGGAATTTCATCCAGGTCTGTGCCTTAGACTCCCAAAAGATTTAAAAAAAATTAAATTGTCTCTCACACAGACAATTATAATTTATATCAGAACAGAATACGGGCCCCTTAGACTCCAACCAGCAGGAGATAACAGTGGGATAGTGGTAATATCACTGGATTTTTAAACCCAGAATCCCAGGCTGATGTGCTGGGGTCATGTGTTCAAAACCCACCAGAGCAGAAGGTGACGTTTGAAAACAAATTGGGTTTATTAGTGTTCTTTAGGGAAGAAAATCGGCCGTTGTTATCTGGTATGACCTACGTGTGACTCCAGAGCCATAACTCTACGACTGACTCTCCGGAGGGCGACTGGGGGAGAGGCTCAAGAAATGACCAGCCAGTGACTCCCACATCCCACGAGCAAATTTATAAAAATTTGCAACTAATTGTCTGATCTTTCGATCATGGTTTGTGGTTTGTCATCCTGCACTCCTCAGCCCTATGAGTACTCGTGTCGCATCGCTACATTTATGTAGATATTCAACTGCCGTATGGATGTTAGGGGCCATATTATAACAGCCTTTTCAAATGTTGTGAGATAGAAATTACAAAATTGATAATAAGTCACATCGTACTTTTTGAACATTCTAAATAAGATACTTTCCACACATGACTGTGAAAACCATCCTTTGAGACAATCCAGTGGACGGAGAAGACATGAGCAATGTAAGGTGCATGGGAGGTCCAGAAAGCTACAATGTATCTATTTTAATGCAAGGAGCTTGACTGGTAAGGCAGATGAACTTACAGTATTGATTAGCATGTGGGAATATGATACTGTAGCAATCACTGAGACAAGGTTGAAGGAAGGACAGGGCTGGCAGCTCAACATTCCAGGGTAAAGAAGTTTCGGGCACAATGGTCAGGGAAGTTGGGGGGTGGTGGGGAATGTAAGAGAGGTGGGGTCATTGCATTATTGATAAAGGAAACCATCACTGCAGTAATGAGGGAGGATGTCCTAGAAAGGTCTTCAAATGAGGCCATCTAGACAGATCTTGGAAATATAAAAAAAGGGTTACTTTGCTGGGATTATATCACACGCATCCCAACAGTCATGGGGAAATACAGAAACAGATACGTTGGCAAGTCACTGAAAGGTGAGAGGTAAACAGGGTTATAGTTGTAGGGGATTTCAAATAGATTTCAATTAGATAGGGTGGGATTTTTAAAATACATCCAGGAGAGCTTTTTGTGCCAGTACATGGACAATTCTACCAGAGATAGGGCAATGCTTGGGAATGTACCCAGTCAAGTAACTGAAGTTTCAGTAGGCAAGCAGTTCAGACATAGTGACCATAACTCTTAAGTTTCAAAGTCATTATGGAAAGGAATAATGATAAAGCAGAAGTTAAATATCTAAATTGGTGGAAGGCTGATTTCAATATCATTAGACAGGATCTGGCAAACATAGACTGGGAGCCATTACTTGCAGGTAAGTCTTCATTTGGAAAGTGGAATCCTTTGAAAGTAGTATCATGAGAAATCAGGGCCAGGGTATTGCTTTAAGAATGAACGGCAAGGACAGCAAGTCCAGGCAATCCTGGGTGTCAATGGGGAAAAAAAAGAACTGCAGATGCTGGAAATCAGAACCAAAAATAGAAATTGATGAAAAAAATTCAAGTTTGGCAGAATCTGTGGAGACAAAGCCGAGTCAATGTTTCAGGTCAAGTGATCTTCTTCACTGGACCCAAAACATTAACTCTGTTTTCTTTCCACAGATGCTACCAGACTTGCTGAGTTTTTCCACTAATTGGGAAACACGATGACTCAGTGGTTAGCACTGCTCCTCACAGCACCAGGGACCTGCATTCGATTCCACCCTTGGACAACTGTCTGTGTTAAGTTTGCACATTCTCCCCATGTCTGTGCGGGTTTCCTCCAGGTGCTCCGGTTTCCTCCCATAGTCCAAAGATGTGCAGGTTAGGTGGATTGGCCATGCTAAATTGCCCATAGTGTCCAGGGATGTGTGGGTTTGATGCGTTAGCCATGGGAAATGCAGGGTTTCAGGGATTAGGGTCGGTATGGACTCAATGAGCCAAATGGCCTGCTTTCACACTGTAGGGATTCTAAAGTTTCTGTTTTTGTTTCTGGATATTTGATAGAGAAAAAGATAGAAGTGTATATTAGGTATAGCACATTAAAAACAGAGGAGGCTGTTCAAAATATAAACAGTGTAGGGGGCTGCTTAAAAAAGAAATTAGGAGGGCAAAGAGCGTCACGACATATTTTTGGCAGATAGAATGAACGAAAATCCCATGAGTTTTTATAAGCATATTAAGAGTAAGAGAATTACCAGGGAAAGAGTGGGACCTATTAGAGACCAAAGACGCAACTTGTGCGTGAGGTCTTAAATGAATACTTCTCATCTGTGTTAACAAAAGGAGAAGGACATTGCAGCCAGAGATTTCAGTTAGGATGGAGAGATTCCAGAACATGTTAAGATTAGTAGCGAGGAGGTATGAGATGTTTTAATGGGCATAAAAGGTGCATAAATTCCCAGGATGATGCAAAGAGAGGGAAGGGAGGAAATTTTTGTGGTGGTGATACATATACTTCGCAGGAGAAGTGCCAAATGACTGGAAGATAGCTACTGTGGTTGCTTGTTCAAGAAGAGCAGTGGGGTTAGGCCAGGTAATTACAGACCAGTTAATCTGATGTCAGTGGCAGGGGAATTATTGGAAAAAAAGTTCTGAGCAATGGGATTAATCTACTCCTGGAAAGGCAGAGATAGCACAATTTTGTTAAAGGGAGATCGTGTCCAACAAATTTAATTGAGTTTTTTCAAAAACGTGACTAAATATTTTGATATTTGGAGGCCCAGTAAGGAAAGCATATACACAATGAATGGTAGGTCCGTAGGGAGTACTGAGGAACAAAAGGACCTTCCCGTACAAGCCCTTAGATGCCTAAAAGTGTCAGCACAGGTCAGCAAGGTGATGAAGGAGGAGTACGGGATGCTTGCCTTCATTAGCCATGGCATAGAATAGAGGAGCAAGGAATTCTTGTTACAACTTTATAAAACATTGATTCAGCCACAGTTGGAATACTGTGTGCAGTTCTGGTTGCCAAAATATCTGAAGGATGAGACTGTGCTGGACAGGGTGCAGAGGAGATTTACCAGGATATTCCCAGGGATTCATCTCAGTGATGAAGAGAGACTTGATAGGATGTGTTTATTTTCCTTGGAGCAGATGAGACTGAGCAGATGAGATCTGACTGAGATGTACAAAATTATGAAAGGCACAGACAGAGCAGATCATGAGAATCTTCCCCCCATGGCAGATGATTTGAAGACCAGAGGGCATAAGTTTAAGGTCAGGAGTAAGTGCACTGGACCAAGGGCAGGAAAATCAGATTAATGTAGTTTGGTGTTTTTCGGTTGGCGCAGACATGGCGGGACAAAAGGCCTGTTTCTTCGTTGTATGACTCTATGCTATGTACTTGCCTGTTTTACTCTCAATTGTGAAAGTAAGTCACTAATATTCTGATCTTTAACTTGTTCAGTCAACCGGATATCTTGGACTGATACTTGCTTCATATTATCCTTGTTTGAGTTTTCCCTAATGAGGAAAAAGGCAAAAAAAATGACAGTTTGATTTTCAAAATGCAAACTTGAAATTAAACAGAGACTTATTCCTTTGTATTTAAAGCAAATTCTTTTAAATGTAGCCATTTTTAACTAAAATTGTCAAATTGTTCACACATATAGTAGCTTTTTTATAATCTAATATATTCCAGGTAATGCAAAAATAGATGATGAAGTGTTTTGGTACATAATGGAAATGGAAGGAAATAAAAACTGCATTTATATAGCATCTTTCACAGCTATAGGTTATTCCAACTTAGTACTTTTGAAGTGTAATCATTGTTGTACTGGAAGAAACAGTGAAACTAATTTGCTAATAGCAAGTTCCAAACACCAAGTGATAATGACTAGAAAATGTTAAATATTAGCAAAATATTAGTTAAAACGCTGGGGATAGCTCCCCTGCTCTTCTTCAAAATAGTGCCACAGGATGGTTTTGGCTACATGAGAGGTTAGATTATTTTAATGTCTCATCTGAAAGTACAGCACTCACTCAGTACTGCACCGAAGTGTCAACTTTGATGTTTGTGCCCAGATTCTGGAATGAGACTTGAACCCACAACCTTCTGATTGAGAATGGAGTGACTGCAATCGAGTAAACTATGGATGATATCTGCAAAGCAAAGTACTTCTTTCACACCATAAGCCTGGTGGTTCACAGAGGGTGGTGAACCTGTGGAATTTTCTACCACATAAGGCAATGGATATCAAGTCAATGATTATATTGAAGAAATAAATGAATAGATTTCTGGACACCAAAGATGTAAAATGGCATGAGGAATGAGCGCAATTATGGCATTGAGGTAGAAGATCAGTCATGATCATGCTGAACAGCTGAACAGCGGAACAGATTCGATAGACTGAATGGCCGACTCCACCTCCTACTTTCCAAATTTCTATATACTGGATTAGCAAATCCCACAATAGGAAGTTGTGAAATGAATATGAAAAATTCCAAGCTAAAAGAGAAAATGTCCTCAAAGCTGTCAGTTTAACATCATCAAAAACAAAGAACTGCAGATACTGAAAATCTGAAACAAAAACTGTTCTAAAGAAGGGTCTCTGGACTCAAAATGTGGACTTTGTTTTCCCTCCACAGATGCTACCAGATTAGAATGTTGTTTCTGAAAAGGAGCCTTGCCATCTCTAATTTGTCCAATTTAAATGGCTCTAGTCCATGCTATTTGAATCTGTTTGACTGTTAGTGCCCTTTGATGACAAGGACATGGTTTAAAAAACAAAAAAGAAAGAATGTGAAGGGGGGGGTTAAGGGGGTTGAATTTTGTTCCAGGTATTGGCACAAAACAAGGTTATATTCAATGTACATAATGCCTGGAACTGAATATCACATGTTGCCTGTAATGGGATGATATCGCCTGTGCTGCATCAATATCTGAAGTGAATTTCTATTCTTCAATATTTTCAAAAAACTTAAATAAACAAAAGTAACAAAAGTACTGTTCAGAACTGTTACAGTGCAGAAGGAGGCTGTCATACGGCCCCACTGTGTCTCTTCCAGCTCTCCAAATGAGCACTTCCAGCTGTCTCCCTGTAACCCTGCACTTTGTCTAATTCCTTTTTGAACTGCTAAATTGAACCTGCTTCCACCACATACTCTGGCAGTGCATTCCAGACCCTAACCACTTATTAAGTAAGAAAGATTTTCCTCACCTTTTTGAGCCTTTTACTAATTACTTTAAATCTGTTTGATTCTTTCACTATATGTTCTCCTTGTTTATTCTGACCAGAACTCTTACAATTTCGAAAACTATTGTTAGATCTCCTCTCAACATTCACTTTCCAAAGAAAACTTTTCTTCATAATGGAACTTTCTTGGGTCTGGAACCAATCTTGGAAACCCCTTTTACACTATCACCAATGCCTTCAGGTCCTTCTTGGAGAGTTACATTCACAATTGGATGCAATGCTTCAGCTGAGGTTGAACAGGTTCAGCATAACCTCCTTACTCATGTTCTGTATGAGAATTAGAGAATGACAGTTCAACTCCTATTCTGGCATTTTCAAAATTTCAACTCAGCTTAAAAAGATCTTTGAACAAAAAGCAGTATCAGTAAGAGACTAAGAACCTGTCATCATTTGTTTCTACTGTTACACAAACCTAATTAGTTCCCTAGTTTCTTTAAAGGAATGAAGCCTATATTTCTTGCAGTTAAGAAAAATGGCTCCAGACCTACAGTAATATGGTTGAATCAAGTGTAGTCAAAATTGTTATCAGCTGTACCAAATGAGGGTAAATAGGGTCAAGTAATAAATATCTGCCTTAACAATTTCTAATAATGTAAGTACAAGGCAATGTCACTTCTCAGGATGTGATATTGGTATTTTGTTATCTTCTAACCTTTTAAAAACAGCAGGTTTGCTTTTGTGCCAATATCCATTTCTAAAAGCTTGGAAAACACCACACTGTAAAAATGATGGCTATATTTTAAAAAAAGTCTTTTTGTTCTTTAAAAAACTGCACATATTTTGTGACTGCAGTCTTACCACATCAACAAAGTACTCATTATTCTATGCGCTTTGACTTCCTATAATCAGCTATCTAAACATAAGTAACAGAAATATATGAAGCATACAATGTACATCTCCAATCAATGCAAGGTGAGGGCAGCTTGCAATGGCTTTCAGTGGCAATTATCAGCTTTTCAAATGGTTCAACTGCAATGATAAATACACGGAGGTGTGCTGTTAGCTTTCAAGTATCATACAGTAGTATTCAGAAGAATCTGGGTTTATTGCTTTATCTAATGTCATTCACTAATTTGGAGAATCAATGCATGAACTTTTAGATCAGCATATTTAAAAGCCTTACTTTAGTCGATGTATTTCAGCCATTAAATGTTGAGTTTCTGTGAACGTTTTCTCTTCATTTCTCTTATTAAGGACCTGAAGCTCTTTCACCTGCGAGTAAAGTCTTTCATTTTCCTGAAATAATAAATGTTCTTCAATCACTAATAGAATACATTCGTGTTACGTCAAATAATCTGTAGTATATAAATCCCAAGAATACAAGTCCTAAATGTAAAACACAGCTTTCCTGTTAACATCTCAAACATTAGCTAAAAAAGACTTGTATTCATACAGTGACAACAAGGTGCAGGGCTGGATGAACACAGCAGGCCAAGCAGCATCATAGGAGCAGAGAGGCTGACGTTTCGGGCCTAGACCCTTCATCAGAAAAGGGGGAGGGGAAGGGGGTTTTGAAATAAATAGGGAGAGAGTGGGAGGCGGATAGAAGAGGGATGGAGGAGAGGATAGGTGGAGAAGAAACAAACAGGTCGAAGAGGCGGGGATGGGGCCAGGAAAGGTGAGTGTAGGTAGGGAGTTAGGAAGGGGATAGGTCAGTCCAGGGAGGACGGACAGGTCAAGGGGGCGGGATGAGGTTGGTCGGTAGGAGATGGAGGTGCGGCTTGAGGTGGGAGGAGGGGATAGGTGGGAGGAAGAACAGGTTAGGGAGGCAGGGACGAGCTGGACTGGTTTTGGGATGCGGTGGGGGGAGGGGAGATTTTGAAACTTGTGAAATCCACATTGATACCATTGGGCTGCAGGGTTCCCAAGCGGAATATGAGTTGCTGTTCCTGCAACCTTCGGGTGGCATCGTTGTGGCACTGCAGGAGGCCCAGGATGGACATGTCGTCTGAGGAATGGGAGGGGGAGTTGAAATGGTTCGCGACTGGGAGGTGCAGTTGTTTGTTGCGAACCAAGCGTAGGTGTTCTGCAAAGCGGTCCCCGAGTCTCCGCTTGGTTTCCCCGATGTAGAGGAAGCCACACCGGGTACAGCGGATGCAGTATACCACATTGGCAGATGTGCAGGTGAACATCTGCTTGATGTGGAAAGTCTTCTTGGGGCCTGGGATGGGGGTGAGGGAGGAGGTATGGGGGCAGGTGTAGCACTTCCTGCGGTTGCAGGGAAAAGTGCCGCGTGTGGTGGAGCTGGAGGGGAGTGTGGAGTGGACAAGGGAGTCACGGAGAGAGTTGTCCCTCCGGAAAGCAGATAAAGGTGGGGAGGGAAAGATGTCTTTGGTGGTGGGGTCGGATTGCAGATGGCGGAAGTGTCGGAGGATGATGCGTTGGATCCGGAGGTTGGTGGGGTGGTACGTGAGGACGAGGGGGATTCTTTTTTGGTTTTTATTGCGTGGACGGGGTGTGAGGGATGAGGTGCGGGAGATGTGGGAGACACGGTTGAGGGCGTTCTCGACCACTGAGGAGGGGAAGTTACGGTCCTTGAAAAACGAGGACAACTGAGATGTACGGGAGTGGAATGCCTCATCCTGGGAGCAGATGCGGCGGAGGCGAAGGAATTGGGAATAGGGGATAGCATTTTTGCAGGAAGGTGGGTGGGAGGAGGAGTATTCTAGGTAGCTGTGGGAGTCGGTGGGCTTGAAATGAATATCGGTTTCTAGGTGGTTGCCCGATATGGAGACAGAGAGGTCCAGGAAGGGGAGAGAGGTGTTAGAGATGGTCCAGGTAAACTTAAGGTTGGGGTGGAAGGTGTTAGTGAAGTGTATGAACTGTTCGAGCTCCTCGTGGGAGCACGAGGCGGCGCCGATACAGTCATCAATGTAACGGAGGAAGAGGTGGGGTTTAGGGCCGGTGTAGGTACGGAAGAGGGATTGTTCCACGTAACCTACAAAGAGGCAGGCGTAGCTTGGGCCCATGCGGGTACCCATGGCTACCCCCTTTGTCTGTAGGAAGTGGGAGGAATTGAAAGAGAAGTTGTTGAGTGTGAGGACGAGTTCGGCTAAGCGGATGAGGGTGTCAGTGGAGGGGGACTGGTCGGGCCTGCGGGACAGGAAGAAGCGGAGGGCCTTAAGGCCATCTGCATGGGGAATGCAGGTGTAGAGGGACTGGACGTCCATGGTAAAGATGAGGTGTTGGGGACCGGGGAATTGGAAGTTCTGGAGGAGGTGGAGGGCGTGGGTGGTGTCACGGACATAGGTAGGGAGTTCCTGGACCAAGGGGGAGAAAATGGAGTCGAGATAGTTGGAGATCAGTTCGGTGGGGCAGGAGCAGGCGGAGACAATGGGTCGACCAGGGCATTCAGGTTTGTGGATTTTGGGAAGGAGATAGAAGCGGGCAGTGCGAGGTTGGGGAACGATGAGGTTGGAGGCCGTGGGTGGGACGTCAGCCTCTCTGCTCCTATGATGCTGCTTGGCCTGCTGTGTTCATCCAGCCTTGCACCTTGTTGTCTCGGATTCTCCAGCATCTGCAGTTCCTACTATCCCAGAACATTATCTGGGTCTCTGGATTAACAGTCCAGTGATAATACCACTAGGCCATCAACTTCCCTAGAATAAATCTGAAATCATAAAATGATTACCACTGCTAACCTAAACAGTCACATGGCTATCAGGATGGTAGAAGATGACCTAGATGAATTTCAGTTTTCTATTTGGTAGTTCTCATGTTCATAAGCAAATTGCAAACAAGAGGAAATGAAACTAAGAAAAGCATGATATTTGGCAGTGCATTATTTTAAATCATCACTACAGGAACATTCATTGGAGAATTTCTCCTTTTTTAAATGTTTAAACCCTACATTGAACATATCACCAATCAAAAAGAAACTTTGATCCCAGCATTGCCCCTTCTTACTGGCCACATGGGTATTTTTCCTGATAGTGGGAAATATTGAATAAAGTTATTTACACAATGGTGGCTTCACAGAGTCCCTGCACTTACACAAACACAATAAAAAGAAGAAAAAATAAATAAAACCTTGATTCTGAATAAACACAGGCACCAGTCTGGTTAAAGTATGCCTTTTCTTTTGTCTGATTCTGCATCAACCAGAATTTTGACTTTCAACCACACACCTAGATCTACATCACCTCATTGAATATATAATGTTAGCATTTAAAACTATGGAGAGACTGCAAGTGACATTGCTGTGTTAAGTGATCCAGTTAGAGGTCCAGGTAGGAAGCAAGAGGTTTTTAGTTTAGTTTAGTTTAGAAAGGCATCATGCATTGGCGCTGCCTTGGTGGTCCAAAGGGCCTGTTCCTTTGCCTTACTGTTCTTTGTTCTTTAGGTCGGCAGTATCTATGCTGAGTTAACATTTCACAACAGTTCTGAATCACTGCTGCTTCAAATTCATCACTGTTGTGTACCATATTTGTATTCATACTGCCCCTGAAATTAAACTGTGGAATAACAGCACATTAATAACTAACGTTTGTTTGAAAATCCTGATAATTTTGCAGATACAATAACCTTTTTAAAATAGACTTATACAGTACAAGGTGTCTTTGCACTCTGACTTCCACTGTTTTCAGGTGACTGAATTATAACAGCTCTGAAGATCAATAAACTGCATTGGCCTATAGGGAGAAGGTGTAGGTGTGGAACAAAGCAGAAAGCTGGCACAGACAAAATGGGTAGAATGACCTTCTTCTGCGCTTTCTATTCTACTCATTAAAATTTATAAATATAGTTATAAGTTAATTATTACAGAAACTGTAAGATTGACCTTTATAATACATTGATATCATAGCATATCCATAGCACTCTGATAAAATGAAAAAAGCAAATTAAAAATGCTTGAATCGGATTCATATAAAAAGTTTAATCAAACAGCAGTTTTTAAACTAAGAAGATTAATCAAACAAAATGAGGAGCAAGCCATGGCAAACATGTTTCTCCCAAACAACTTATCATTTGTGCACAAAGAACAGACTTTTTATGATCAAGCAGCACCATGGCACAGCTTCATAGACTGCATGCATGAATACAAATTCCAGTAAGGCATTCCATAACATAAGTGCAATTCCATAACAATAATTTTATAGTATTACAATTGCCTAGTAAACATTGAGATAGTTTGTCTTGTGGAACTAGGAGCTGGAATAACAACCCCTTGTCTCTGCAGTTCACGGAGAACATCCAATATCGAGTCCAGCTCTGTTCTGAAATTTTCCAGTTCATGATTTTTAAACTGTGCTAACTTCTTCCACTTCTCGATCTCTTGAATTTGTTCTGCATCAGCATTATGCCGTGCTTGCTGAATTAACTATTAGCAAATTAAAGAACAAAAAGGTTAAATTAAACCTCTTAACAATTTACAATGAAAATTGAATGCAAAAGACGACTTAAAAGAAATCAATGCTATATAGCAGAAAAAAGCATTACCTAGGAGGCAAGAAGTAAGGGCTATAAAGATTTAAGATTATCAACTGTGTGCTTACTTTTCTGTATTGGCTCAGTGCACAAAGGATTGTTCGATCGTGACATCTATGCAATGGTGAGCTTAGAAACTAAAAATGCTCTTTTACAATTCAGCAGCAGTCCCAATCATCATAAAGAGCCCCCTAGGACTATCTGATTGTCATTTAATGACAGATGCAATTATTTTTGACAGCATATTCCTGAATTAAGTATGCTGTCTTTTGCATGAAGTACAGAGATGGGGGCAAAAGTGAGGTTTCGTACACACGGATGAGCCCAACGACAAAAAAAAATGACAAGTGATGGGCTCGATGACCTACTCTTGTTCTAAGTTCATGATAGAAGCTTGACTTTCTCAATGCTAGCATTTTCCTTTTATTCTCTTTTATTCTGTGGGATGTGGGGAAGTCAGTATTCACTGGCCACCCCGAATTACGCTTTAGATTGTGGCAGTGAACTCCTCTACTTCTGAAGGCCATGTTGTTTAGATATGTTACAGAATTAGGGTGGGAATTCCTGTTTCCTGATCCCAAAACAGTGATTTACAAGTGAGTATAATATGTCACTTAGGGGAATGAGAGAGTGGAAATGTTCCCATGTCCTTGTTCTTCAATCTGGTAAAAGAAGAGTGCTGACAGAAGAATGAAGGCTGATACCCTTGCTCCTCAGACCAGCCATCACTGCAGCCAGCTTTCTGAATAGTTGCTAATGCACCCATCTACATCTTCATCTAACGGGGGAAGCAACACAGACTTGAGACAGTTGACCAAAAAAGCAATTTTCCACCAATTATGACTTTAAGCAGGTGCTCTATGGCAAAGTGGATGGCTTTAAAATCATAACAAATTCTGCATTCATATAAATCTATTATTCACTGGACAGAATCACATTTAAATTAGTTCAGGTCCAGTCTTTTTCAAAGTGCATTTTTCCACTGATTCTGGAGGAGAGATTGTACTAGCTAGAAGAAAAAGCCTGCAGTTATATGGTGTCTTTCACATCCTCAGGCATTTAACAGGCAATTAGTTATTTATCAAGTCTGATGGGGGGTTTTGTTTGATAACAGGGAGGTGTTTTCTGTTGTCAGGCATGTGGTAAATCTGCAATCACAACTGGGTAACTGATGGAGTGCCAACTCACCTCATCATTGTGCTGCTAGAGAGAACAGTAGTGGACTGAGGGGTTGGAGAGAATGGAGTGGCAGGCTTAGAAGCAATTTATTTCCTCTCAGTTAACCACTGTTTTCTACCTTCTTCAGTGTAATTGTCTCCATAATGCTGGATAATTGAAGTTTCATTTATGAAAAGCAGTGCATTTATTTTTAACCACAAAAAATGTAATACTGAAAGATGTACAAGGTTTTAGAATGGTTGGACACACTGTTATGACGGGGGACTTCAGTTGCGGAGTGTCTGAAAAGGTTAGGTCTGATCTCAGAACTCAGAATTTAAGATATGACCTAAAAAAGTTTTTCCAGCTGAACAACAATTTTGATAAGAGCAGACTGAGAAAAACCTATCACTCGGTAACAAATAGCATAGACTTTCACTTTGAAAAGCGCTGAAATCCGGAATGCTCTTACTTTTAAACGGTGGTGGAAGTTGATTCCAAAAAGAATATTAATTAAGATACTTGGAAGTTGAGGAATTTACAGAATGAGAACAAAATGGTTTGTGCTCTTTCACACAAACCTGCACAGGCACATTGGACTGAATGGTCTCATTCAGTGTTGTAAGTTCCTGGGATACTTTATTTATTTTCTCTATAAATTATCCAGAAAAGCTCAAATTCATTAATTTCAAATCAAATTATTTTTGATGCTTTCTTCTGTTGTTAATACCTCAAAGCTATCCTTTCCAAATTTTCTGTTAAATGATCATGTGATATAGATTATACTTTGGTATGTTAACTTGGGAAAATTACTCCCATTATGGCGCACTTTTCCCTTATATATACAGGGTTTTCTCATAGGGGTACAAAATTCTCTGAATGAAATTTGGAATTCAAGTTTCAGATAAAAGAGCAAAAAAAGTGTTTTGCATTAGTCACACTTGATCTAATCAATAGATAATCATTATTTAAATATTTTTATTTGCATTTTGATGAATGATACTACTTTTGTTATCTGAAAAACCTACTCAGTTTCTCATTTCATGTGTTTGTTTTTGGATGCTGCGAAGTCTTCCCTTGCAGGGAAACCTAGAAATAGGGGGATACAGTTGCAAAATCAGAGGTTTCCTAATTCAAAAAAAGGTGAGGAAGAGCTTCTCATAACAGAAAGTTTTAAATCATTGAAATCCTCTACCTAGAGAGAGACCAAGGCTGGGTCATTGAATATATTCAAAACTGAGTTAGACAGATTTTTGATTGATGAAGGATTGAAGTTTATGGGGATCGCAGTCAAAGAAGTGGAGTAAGGCTATAATTACATTAGCCATGATCTTACTAAATGATGGAGCATGCTGCAGGAGCCAGCTAGCCTAATCTTCTTACTTCTAAGGTTTTGCATCACTTTAAGAATTGGTTATATAGTACCTGTTGGAATTCTTGCTCTCTCTGTGCATACTTGAACTCCATCTTCTGAATTTTCCTTTCCAGAGCCAAGAAATGTCTCATCTCTGGGCTGTGATTCTCTTTGGCTTCTCTCAGTTCTTCTAAAAGCTTGGCCATCTGGGAAATGACATTGAAGTAAATATAGGTTGGTATTTATTTTTACCAAAATAAATAATGTGTAATTCTGCCAACAAAAAGTAAATATGCACCTACTTTAAAACTCTACCAGAAACAAAGTGCTTCCCTAGGAAATTAACTAATCATCATGTAGGCAAATATGACAAGTGTTTTTGTGCAGTATCAATAGATTCTTCATCACCTTCAGTTTTATAGATGAGTACGGAGTCAAATTTAGTTAAATGCATAATGCTGTATGATTTAAAAAAAAGGCTATTGTTATGACTGAGTTCAACGTAGAACCTGAAAGGGAGAAATGTGAGACAGTCGCTGAGGGCAGGATCTTCTTATTGTTGGGATAGGTACAAAATGGGGAGAGAGAGAAAAGCAGAGAGAATCCTGCATTCCTGTTCGGTGCTGAAAGCCCTCCTCCAGATCTTTCAGCAATCAGACATCTAATTGGTTGCTGATGGGCTTTCAACCGAGGTTAGGTCCCCGATCGAAGAAATCCCACAGATCAGTCACCAGTAGCTTTAGCATTTAGCAGACCAAGGAGGCAGCCGCTGACTACTGCCAGGATGAGAAGCAATCCAGAAAACATGAGTGTGTTGGTTGGGAAGTGGGGAAGTGAAGGGGGTGCAGGCATGGAGGCAGGGATTGGGGAGAAACAGCCACATGATAGGTGTTGTTGTGGGGGGGGGAGCGGGGCTGTGCGTGGCGGTTATGGTTACTGCTGTTAGCAGCAAGACCAGGGTTGGTTCTCAATGCTTACATCTATTTTCCATGTCTCCACGTTCATGCCATATTGATTTGTGAACATCGAGGGACTTTCCCCTGCTATAACTGACAGCATGCCTGCACTGGTTTATTAATCTAGTGGGCTCTCTCTTTCTTATTCTGCCTGGAATGGAAATAACTGCAGTCCAGTCAGGAATAGGCCTCAACTGGCAGTGGTGAAGAAGATCAAACTTGGGGCTTCCTGCCCATAGATTAATTACAACAGACGCTGGAGGTGGGGGTTTCACCCCACCTAATTAAGTTGCCTTTCTGACTCCAACAGCTACATGACTGGCTGGTTCTACTCAGATTCTGCATTTGGTGTCTGACTTCAATGCCATGAGGCAGATATTGTCCACAATGGACTGGGAAAATCTAATAGTGGATTAAAACAGAAGAAGATCAGTGTAAGATAATAAAAAATAAACTTTAATGCAATTAAAATTTAGTTTATACTTCTAAGGAGCAAGAGTTAAAAATAAACAGATGACAAACTAAAAGAAAAGAAGCATAAACATGCAAAAAAGCACAAATTCTGGCAAATGGGACAGACATAAAGGACTGCAAATGTGTCACAACAGAAAGTAAGATGTACAAGAAAAGTATGAATACAAATTGTTTATAATTTTTATTCAGGTTGTTCTTTACATTGTGTTGCTCTTCACTGGAGTAGTGTAGGCAGCTCAGGATGGAGGAGGAAGAGTGAAAATGAATAGAGAAAGTTGTAAACAACCAGAAGCTTAGGAATGGAGGTACAATCAATCAATTAATGTGTTTTGCCCCCAGACTGTGGAGAAAGAAGACTGTATGTGTGACTGGATCCAGTGGCGCACCACAGGGATCAGTGCTGGGTCCCTTATTGTTTCTGATAATATATATGAAGTGATATGGATGAGAATTTGGGGGTGTGGGGGGTAGCTGGATGACAGGTAAGTGTGGGTGACATGAAGACTGATGAGGAGGTTAACAGTGAGGAAGAAGGTTTAAATTATAGGAAGACATAGTCATGTTTCTCAGATGGACAGTTCAGTGGTTGGTCGAATTTGGCCCTGAAAAGGTGTGAAGTGATGCAGTTTGGAAGTAGTAACAGGACAAGGGAGTACTCAAACGGCAGGTGGGAATCTTGACTCATTCAATCCTGCTGGAGACTGGGTCCAGTATGTGGAAAAAAGAACTTTTTTTTTTAAGGTAAATGACACTGGGACAGATGAAAAGCAACGAGTAATTAATAATCCCTTAATAAGATGCTGACCGACCATTTGGTATGTGCGATTAATGATGTGACCATGCAAAAGCACCTGCTAGCTGAAGCCCAATTGGACTTCAAACAGGCACTACAATTGGCTTTATCACTGGAAAATATGGGAAGTGGAGCAGATGAGTTGCAGGGTATTCCGACGGAAGTGGACACCCTCACCAGTCCGACTGAGCATGGGGAACACCACTTAAGTGAAAGCAATTGCATAGCCTGACTCAGGACATATTTTGAACAGAGGGACTCTCGGTCAGCCAAATCCCAAAACAAAGCCAAGCCTCGGCCAAATGGTTAACATTTTCTTCAGAATATGGGCTGGCAAGCCACTGTAGTTGCTGTGGACTTGAGACAGCAAGAGAATTCCAATTGGCCCAAACTGAGTCACAGAACTCATAGGCCAGTATCCGGGACAGTGCACATGCTGGAAAGTCTACCTACATCTGGTTTGGAATAATTAAATTGCTTAGCAACATCCAAATCAGAACCAGCCAAAACAAACATTTGGTAATTTGGTCATCCAGTTCTAATGGAGGTTGATACTGGTGCGACCATTTCAGTGACCATTGAAGCAGTCTTTAACAAAATTTGCTCTGGACTCAAACCATTAAGTTTGTGCAAGATCTCAGCTAGACTGAGTACCTATGCTGTGGAAACTTAACAAATGAAGGGTACAACTTCAGTTCCAGTCTCTTATGAAAAGCAGCTAGTTCAGTTACTACTGATGGTTGTAAAAGGTTCAGGCCCAAGCTGGTTGAGAAAGATTTACTGAGATTGGCTCAGCATTTTTTGATTAGAAAATAGCTGCCTGAATGAAGTCCTAATTAAATACCTGAATGGTTTTCAGGAAGATCCAGGGACCACCAAAGAGCCAATGCCATCCTGGATATTGACCAGGAAGCAATTCCACAATGCTGCAAGGGTGACCCAGTGCCATTTGCATTACGGGCAAAAGTAGAGGCAGAAATCAGAAGGCTGGAAAGGGAAGGAATCAATCATCAAACAGTTTGTGGAATGGGCACCACCGGTCGTACCGATTGTGAAGCCCGATAGTTCGGTTCAACTTTGCAGAAATTTTAAACAAACGGTAAACCTCAAGTGCCCTACTTGGGCTACAGAGTCGACAAGATCAAGTTACACCTGTTGGAAGATAAAATGAGGGCAATCAAAGATACCCAGCTCCCAGGTCTGTATCAGGGCTTAGGTCTTTCTTAGGACTGGTGAACTATTATGGAAAGTTCATACATAACCTGGCCTCCATTCTGGCACCTTTGCATCAACTCTTAAAAAAGATAAGCCTTCGAAATGGTCACATAGCCAAGCCATAGCTTTCAGGGAAATGAAGAAACAGCTATCATCCTCGAAGGTGTTGGTACTCTACGATCTCAAGCGAGATCTGGTATTGACACACGATGCCTCACCGTACAACATTGGGGTAGTATTAGCTCATAGATAACCCAAGCGAGAGGAACACCCAATAGCATATGCATCCAGGACTTCAGTTAATGCAGAGCACAAATATGCCCAGATAGAGAAGGAAGGTTTGGCGGTCATATTTGGAGTCAGGAAGTTCCACCGATACTTTTGTAACAATAACAGACCACAAACCCCTGCTAGGTCTACTTGAAGAGGACAAGGCAGTTCTGCCCACAGCTTCAGGTTAGAATTCAGTGGTGGGCTCTAATATTAGATCCTTATAATTAGAAGTTGAAATACCATCTGGGAGGCCAAGTAGCAAGTACGGATGCGCTCAGCCATGTCCCGCTGGCAGATACACCACAGGTGGTCCTGCCATTGGAAGAATCCATAATGATTTTAAATTTCCTGGACACACTTCCAGTCACAGCTGACAATATCAGACTTTTGACACAGAAAGATCCAGTCCTGACAAAACTGACTATGCAGGTCATTTCATGGACTCTTTGTTCTTGGTTATGCGGACGCCCATTCAAAGTGGTTGAACATGCAGAGAGTTCATTTGTCAAACATGGGGATGAAGATAAAAAAACTGCATCCATCTTTTGTAATACACAGACTTCTGGAAGTGTGGGTGACAGATAATGGGCCATTGTTTACCAGCAGAGATTTTGAGTATTTCCTAAAGTTGAATGGTATTTGACACACAGGGACAGCTCCATACCATTCCACCATCCAATGGTGTGGCAGAATGAGCAGTCCAAACTTTGAATGCAGGCTTAAAGAAACAGCCTACAGTTTCACTTGATATTAAACTGTCCCAGTTCCTGTTTGATTACAGGATCATCCTGCATGCAACTACAGAGATAGCTCCAGCAAAGGTGCTAATGGAGAGAAGACTCAGCACCAGGTTAAATCTGATCTTCCCAGAGCTGGGGCGGAGGGTGAAATGTGTTCCGTTTGCAAAGCGAAAAAGAGAGTTTGCTTCGGGAACAAAGTTTGGTGTAGGAATCACGAGAATGGCCCTGCCTGGGTAAGAGGCATGGGTGACGTGAGAAAAAAAAAACCGAAAGAACTACGGATGCTGTAAATCAGGAACAAAAACAAAGTCACTGGAAAAGCTCAGCAGGTCTGGCAGCATCTGTGAAGAAATAAATCAGAGTTAATGTTTCGGATCCAGTGACCCTTCCTCACCGGACCTGAAACGTTAACTCTGATTTCTTTTCTTCACAGATGCTGCCAGACCTGCTGAGCTTTTCCAGCAACCTTGTTATGGTTGACGTGAGGTCAGGTCCAATGAAGCATAAAGTTCAGGTTGGTGCGATGTTCAGAACAAACACGTGGACTTTGTGAAAGCTGCAAATTCGCAAATGGTGCAGGACCAAAACGTGCCCGGCTTCTTGACAGCTCTTCCAACTGTTCAGCAACACGTGGCTTTTCCCTCTCTGTCAAGGCTTCAAGATACTTAAGAATCTGGAGATGCTCACGGCAGATGATGCTATCTCAATGCCTTTGCTAACTGAAGAGAATGAATTTCTTTTGAGATGTTCCGGGTGCAAAAGGTCTGCTGTGTACAACATGCTGCCCATTATCAGAGGCACAATTTGCAGAATCTGACCCAGTGCTAAAACACCTCAGGAGGAGCTAC